TGGCTGTTTTCCTTGTTGCCCTAACTAGTTGGAGATGTTCTAGAACTGACCCACAGATTCTCCTGTTCTTTTCTCACTGTCTGTCTCTTTGTCCTACTTTTTGTTGTTGTTGTTTGTTTTTCTTCCGGTACCAGGAATCAAACTCACGACCTTGCGCTGTGCCGCTAAGCTAAATCCCCAGCCCAGTGTCTCCTACTTTTTGAATCGGTTGTTCTTCAATCCTTTCATTGAATTTTTGCTTTAACCATCATATTTTTAATATACACAAGTTCCATCTTATTGTCTATTCTTTTTTGTAAAAAAAAAATTATATTTCATTCTTTTTTCAAGGACTAACATCTTCTTTCATCACTCTGAGAACATTGTGTCTTCTTTGAAGTATTCTTCTACTCTCAGCATTGTCTCTGTTTCCTCAGAATTTCCATTTTTTCTTTGTTTCTTTCATTTTGGAGGCTTTCTTCTAATATCTGATTATACTCTGATGCCCTGTCATGTTTAAGAGTGAGTCATTAAGAGGTTGATTAGAACCTTTGAAAAGGGCCCTCTAATAGGGTCAGGGAGTAGCTGGAGACTTTTTACCGCAGAGGGGTCAGCAAATGGGAGCATCTTCAGGCCTTCCTCGGGGACAGCGGCATTGAGGCCACGAAGGCTTCTGTCACAATCCTAATGCCTGCCAGGGGGAGCTGACCAGTGGAAGGGAACTGGGACTGTCACTGTCCAGACACAGAACGTCCAGGAATCCCCCAGATTTCAAATCTGTTTCCGGCTCAGCCCTGCGCAGTGCTCGCTGGCCCCAAGTTCAGAAGATCTCCGGCTGTTTTTCAAAGACGCCAGCACGGATGTGGAAAAATGGTCCCAGGTCACGGAGGACTTTGAAAGTCTAACAGTCCTCAGGGAACCCTCCCCGCGAGAACCCACCCACCACACCATCCAGCTTTCCCCCTCAGCCTTCCAGAGCGTGGTGGGGTGAGTCAGCTCGCGCCCGCCTCCATCTCCTCCACAGACACTTGGCTTTGACCTTTCACCATTCTGCCAAGTCATGCACCATGCCTCCATCCACTTTCCATCTTTGTGTCCTGTGGTTTATGGTTATTTATGTCTCCCTGGTTTATCAAAGACAGAGTTTATGCTTCCTTTTCTTAGTATTCTCTGTTGTTTGGGGACGATTTTTAGAAGAGATTGAATGAAAGACAGAGAAAGAGCAAATGTGTCTTTATTTAGATGTTTTGAAACCAGAAGTCTCTAGCCCTTTCTTTTTCATAAGTATTTGTTGTACCATCCTCTTTAGTATCATTCTGATTCATAATTTCTGGCTTCTGGGTTGTATTTGTAACTAGGCTTTGTTTTGCTGGTTCCAGACTTGTGGCATTTAGTTTATTAATGAATTAACAATTTCCACATTTACTTATGATATCCCACTTGCAATAACTGTTGTCTGCAACTAAGTGGGATACGCCGAATGTCAAACAACCGGGGTAGCGTTAGTCACCAAACCCTTGCGGTACTGAGTGTCCTGGCTCCGAGGCTGACTGGCACTTGTCCCCTGCCTCTCGACCCTCACCCTCGCTCCACCCTAGGAGGACCACCGCTGGGACAACTCTCCTCGCCCACGCGCCCTCGGGCCATCTCCATCCGGGTCCTTTCTTTCCTGTCCTGCTGGGTTTCCAGTCACGTTGCTCTATAACCCCAGCTTCTAGAGCACAGTGGCGTCCAGCATCACCAGGGGCTCCTTCCCCATTGGCACCTTTGACCCTGCCCACCTGTAAATAACCTCCCTGTGAAAGTTTCTTCAGTTGTATGCTGTGTGCCATTTATTTCCTACCAGGCCACTAATTGACACATCAGTTGAAAAGAAGGGCATTTTCAACGAGTTCATCTCTAAAGTCACTTCAGTTCTTATGCTCTGGTTTTTACAAGTCTCATAGACAGTTGGCACTTAGTTAAAGACTGTGCCAATGACAGGCTTCCTTTCGATCAAGATTCAATTTCACTGGGGCGGGGCGGCGGGGCGGGGGGGGGACAGACTCTTCTTTCCACATAATGATGCTGGCCTGCTTAGAAGTGTCATTAGCACAACTCAGGCCAGCAGAGGAGAGGCCAGGATAGCATCCTGTGTGCTGTGCTACAGCCGTCGGGGGCAGACAGTACCAATAAAGATCTATTTGCTGTTTTTTACTTCAAAAACAGATAGTCAGAACTAATTCCAAAAATTCAAGTGTTTATTTCTCTTTTAGCTTTTTTTGCTGTCTTTCTTTTCTTTGTTTCTTTATTTCTTTCTTTCTTTCATTTTTTTTCAAGACAGGGTTTCACTATGTAACCCAGGCTGGCTTCTAACTCATGGTGATCCTCCTGCCCCAGCCTCCCAGGTGCTGGGATTACAGGACTGCACCACTATGTCCATCTACCTCTTTTTCTTTATATAAAAGCAAAAAACATAATATATATAAAAGCAAAAACATTCATTTTACCCATCCTCCCATTAACAAAGAAATGAATTCCTGCACTTGGGACTTCCTTCCAGATATCTAATTATCTCTTTTTCCGCCCATTGCCAGGCTTTTTCATCCAATCAGCTTTTCCACTTACTCACCTCTCACAGACTCTTCAACCCATACCCATTTCAAATTGCTCTTGCCAAAGGGTTGTTTCTTTTTTTTTTTTTTTTTTTTTTTTGAGGCAGAAGGCGACAGAACCCAGAGGCTTCAACTGAGCTGCATTCTGAGAACCTTTTTATTTTCTGAGACAGGGTCTTGCTAAATTGCCCCATCTGGGCTCCAAGCTGTCATCCTCCTGCTTCAGCCTCCCAAAGTGCTGATATTCCAGGCATGTACCACTACACCCAGCTGTGTTCTTGCCCGAGTGTTGTTCAGCTTCATGGCTGCTATATGAAAGGCCTTGTCTTACTTAGCCACTTGTTTCATGCGATATCACTTCCTTGCGTTGCTGTTGTGCATGCCTCTGGTCTCCTCTGTGTCTCAGACTACTCCTCCGTCTCTTCGGTAGGCAGCTCCTCTTTTGTCGTGCCTCAGATGCTCAGCTTATTCGCATTCTGCCCTGGGCTTCCTAATCTCCCCACCTATACATCACCACCAGATGGTCTCATCCACTCCTAAGGCTTCAAAAGCCCACTGTATATGCTACGGTTCTCAAGAGGATCATCTCAGCTCCAGATCTCTCTGTAAACACTAAGAGACTCTTTAGTCTCTTAGATGCCCAGAGGCTCCTGACACACAACATCTCAGCTCCCCGCAAACCAAACCTCCATCCACAGCCCTGCTTCCAGTGATCACACCAAGCCAAAGACTAGACGATAACCCTTGACTGTCTGCCGCTCCCGTTCTCCATACCCAGGCAATGTCTGCACCCTCCTGATTCTGTCTGAGATGCACCCTGAATCCCTTCTCCAATTCTGTCCATTCTTACTGCCTCCCCCCAGACCAAATCGTCTCTTTACAGTTTACACAGTTATCCTCAAATCCAGACTTTATAATACAACCAGATGAACCCTCTGTGTACAGATCTCCCTATGGCACTCTCCTTTCAAAATGCTGCATTGGCTTCCCGCCAGGGTTAAGACAAAGCCCAAAGTCTTCAACGTGGTTTACAAGGCAGGGTGTCTCAGCTCTCCTTCTGCTGCCCCACTCCTGCACGCTTCAGCCCTAACAAGCCCTTTTAGTTCCTCCAACCCTACATACTTCCCACTCTACGGATTTCCACAGTGTGCACCTGCCGCCTGACAACACGGATGCCATCCATGTAAGACCATCAGTATTTCTTGACTGACATCTACGACTCCTTGAATGACATGGCGTCTCAGCTGGGACGTGCAATGCTTTCTAAATCTGGGTTAGATCTGCTCCGACATCACACTTACCTCATCCTATGATAATTGCCTATTCGCTCCCCTGTTCTCCCCTGCCGGGTCATTACCAGGGAGGTGAAGAACACACCCGTTATATCTCCGAAGTTCCCACCAAATAAATAATGGTTGGGTGGTGAGTAAGCAAATGAACAAACAAACCATCAGACCAAAAGCTGAACCGGGGCAGGCACATTTCACATACAGACTTTATTTCCCTCCCCTTCTCTTCTTAAAATGACGAGTAAGTGAGCTATCGTTCCCCTCAAAAGAGCCAGTGGGGGAACCAATGTCTACTCACACGTGACAACCAAAGCAAATTTCCTCCTCAGCCTTTGCCTTCTCCCCTTTCTGCCGACATACAAAATTTTCAACATGAAAGTTGATGCATGCTTCAAAGAGACTAAGCGTGTGGTTGACTTTTTCAAGATCTGCCGAATGCCCAGTCTGCTCCAAAACCATCTGTAAACTTGATAGTTTATGTACTCGAGGTAAAAAGAACCCATGGTAACATTTTATTTGAACCAGAACACCAAAGCATTAATTAGAACTAAGCACACCTGCTCTGAAATGCAAAGGCAGAGATTTATGTGAACTTGTAAAGCTAAGACTTGCTGACCTCCCGTAGGATTTATATTTCCTTTAAATAAGCATTTCCTCTTCGCAATACCATATTTTTTTAAGTTTATTTCAGCGACTCACCCACTGGCATAAACAGATATGCCGCTCAGTGCTTTATTACCTATTCTTAATCCTTTTTACCCACTGCTTGTCAAATATTTAATTTAAGGTTGTGAGTGAAAATAAGCAGGCCCAACCATGAGACCTAGAATTTCTTACTCTAAATTTAACTTGTTAATGAAGTCATCTTCGCAAAAAGACATCTCTGTATTCAAAGTCCACATTTAATTCCAGACCATTTTAACTCAGTGATACAGAGATCTGTTCACTCCCGATTTGAAGGGCTTCCTTATAGCAATTTGTCACCAGCAGGACTTGTGAAGTGACAGTGTTTATTCCCATAGGAAGTTCTTCCAGTAAAACAAAGTTTTTCATTCAGGGAAGACACCCTGATTCTGACATTGAGAAGCTACTGCCTTAGGAAGGGATGCTGTGAGGTTCACTCATCGACGCTGGTTACCTTGGACAGCTTCATTCCCAGGACTGTGAGCGTTACTAAGCCAGCACAACACACCAGAGCACTGGAGCTGGACAGGCCAGAACTTGGTGGGATATTTCCATCCACCAGGCAGTTCATCCCCGTCAGGTCACTAAGACCAAAGTGCTCCTGAAGAGGTAAGGAGAAAGAGCAATCGTAATCTCAGTGTTGGATTCAAAACTTCCTTCCATTCCCCAAGAACAAAATTCATCAGCAATCTTCTTATACTATCTACAGACAGACGTTATGCCACTCAGTTGAGTGGATACTACATGTGATATCTGATTTAAGAACTCTTACCCATAAGGTAAGGTGACCTCAAAACAACTTTTTACTTTGTTCAACACAAAGCTAGCCATCCCTTCCTAAAAATCGCTTTAGGCATTGTTTTGTCTTGATAATTATTGATCTGAAGACAATGGAAAAATGGAAAGCAATCATAATTCAACATGCCACAGACCAAGACAAGAAATAGAGACTTATCCCAGTTCCCTTTTAGTTACAGAAAAACCCAAGCACCAGAGATGAAGGGACTTTCCCAAGATCACACGTAGGGGGCTGGCAAAAGGGCACAGGTCTCGGGTTCCCACTGAATTACAAACCTGGCCAGCAGGCTGTCACCATGACTTAACGTAAGTCAGCTCTCTGAGGAAATCCAGATTCTTTTTTTTAGCTGGAGTTTATAGATACAATTTAGCCATATGGTAGCCATAAAGACAGCCACATTAGAATTCAGCCACAAATGTGCACGTAGCCTACAAATGAGGCAGGAAAACTCTGTTTCTACAGAGAGTTAAACCCAAAGAAACAGTCAGGCCCTGACTTAGAAATGGAAAGCTCCAGTGTACGTGCATGGATACCTAAGGCTGGGATGCTGTGCACAATATCATAGCACAGCCTTGGTGATTTAGAATTAGAAATAAATTCAAGGCCACCCCCTCCTCAAGCAGAAGTACCGCCACCCTCACAAATTACTCAAACACAAGACGAAAGTATGAATTACTATTATATTACCTAATTATGCATTTCGTCATACATATTATTCTAGGGAGAAATTTCAATAAACCAGTTAGAGTAACCAAAGTAACAACAAAACTCTGCAAATGAAAGACTGGCTTTTTTCCCTTAATTTCTGTCCTTTTATCTTAGTTGGCAAAACTTGCGCACCACAAAAGAAGAGATTCACTTGGATGTACTTCTCTTCTTGATTTCAATCATCTAAAAATTGCCTCGGGGCTGGGGATTTAGCTCAGCGGCACAGCGCCTGCCTGGCAAGCGCAAGGTCGTGAGTTCGATTCCCGGTCCCAGAAAAAATAAATAAATAAAAATAAAAATTGCCTCCCAGAAATACAAACAAATTAGAAGCTGAGACATGGCTGCTGCCAGTGCCCTTTCATACAGAAGAACAGCAGACAGCTTGTGTAAAACAGTGATCCCGGGAGGATGCTGTACATTTCACTAGAACCTGGTCCACGCAGTACCTTGAATGTGAATCGTACTTACAAACTTAGCACGCCATGTTTAAATCGAAAAGTACAACACATTCAAAAAAGTACATGGGTTGTGCCAGACTCTGTAATAGCTCTGTCCCAAAAGGATAACAGGTTCAATTTCATATAAACAGATTATCCTCTGGAACTTTCTAGTATCTGAATCTGAAGGTTTCTGAACAGGACAACATTTAAATTATTTTCCTGCCAAAAGTTCATTGTACAAACCTTCTTTGTGCATATAAATTGTCAAGCCAGAAAGGATAGCTTAAGGCCCCAAAAGACTCAAAAGCAACACAAAATAATGTGCATTATTTAGGTCTCTTTATCCATATGCTACAAATGTCATGTTGTTATAAGGAAGATCAAATTGCACTTTCAAGGCAAATGCATCCAAATACTGTAATTCCCACTAATTCATATGACAGGCCAGATGATTTGAAGATTTAAAACCTGCCAATAAGTTTTCCCAGAAGTTATTACCATGTGTCTGAGAGAAAGACACACAGAGAGAAAGAAAGAAAGAGAGAGAGGGAGGGAGGAAAGAAGGAAGGAAGGAAGGAAGGAAGGAAGGAAGGAAGGAAGGAAGGAAGGAAGGAAGGAAGAGAAAGAAAGAAAGAAAGAAAGAAAGAAAGAAAGAAAAAAGAAAAGAAACACTAAGACCAGATCTGCACAGAAAGAAAGAAAGAAAGAAAGAAAGAAAGAAAGAAAGAAAGAAAGAAAGAGAAAGAAAGAAAAAGAAAAGAAACACTAAGACCAGATCTGCACAGTTGGGGCACAGGACTACACATCAGCAATAATTCGGATGCATTTCTGTTCTACGAACGTCCCTGAGTCCTAGATTACTCACAGCAAAGTTCAGGTAGGACCACAGGGAGGAACACAAGCTCTCTAAAACGTACCTGTTCGTTTGCCTTTAACTCGCAAAGACAAAATCCACCTTTTACCGTCCTTCACCCCTGATTCTCTACAGTCACTACATCCAAAATGCTGACTGAGAACTAAAAGCAGCCATAACACAGCTGACACTGATTTTTCTGTGCTCCGCGCTGTTGTAATTGTGAGAGAAAGTGGGAATAATTCATTTTCGTGCTCTTCTACATGGCACTAGAGGTTTCCAAGGTAGTTTTTCAGTGCTTCTATGAAATCACTTGCACTAGCGTATTTTATCTCGTCTTCCTTTCTTACCCCATCTGAAGCGGCAATGACATGCCAGTCACCATCCACTAACGCCCAGCATCGCCAAGCACAATGCCGCTCTTACAACAACGCATTGTTAGGACAGTAGTGCCATCCTTTTGCAGGCGGATCTGAGACTTAAATCACTTTGATACGACAGGGTAGAGCCCCGACTGAACCTGGGGCTGTCCAACTCTAAATTCTACTACAGCCCAAGCCTACTCCTGTATCTCCCAAGAACAAAATGTAAATAATGTCACTAGAAAGCATCCTCCCCAGCAAACGTGAGCAAAGATGGAAAAGCCGGACAGCGCTTGTTAGCTGCGCCTGATTCACGCGGAGCCGGCTACCTGCAAGACCGTTACTGCCCCCTGTGCACATGACCCCACACAGCCGTGTCTTCCCCACACCCTGAAGCATCAGCTAGCAAAGCAGAAGAGGAACAGCAGTTAGTACTGAAAGACAAAAGTGACACAGCAAGTAAAATAAAGCTGACACAATACACACCTTCCAAAGCAACTTACCTGGATGCCTTTAAATCCGCACAAGAAGTAGTTGTGCCACAGAGGCTTGCTTTTGTCAATCTGAATGGTATTGGCACTAGCGCTGAAGTCCCTGCAAAAACAAGACCCGGCCATTAAACCACGGGCCTTGAGCTGCAGGGTCAGTGGCTGACTGCTGCCATCTGGCGCTCAGACCTCGACACTGACACTCTCCCTTCCATTCACTTCCAACACGGGCACCTCAGTCTCCCCAAAATAATGACCGCCTCCAGCTAAGGAAGGGAGAGGGCATGCCCTCAATGACTCATCCACCTCTCACTGAGCCTTTGCGCTCCTGAAGCACAGCGGAGGCGGCATGTTCTAGCAGAATCCACAATCACGTTCTCTTTCACACAGGTCTTTGGGAAGCTGGCGCACGCCACACAACTGCGTGGTGTTCTGAGCCTGCAGTCTGGCAGACTCCAGCTCAAACAAGGGTCCTCAAAGCCCTCCTCCTCCACCCTCTGCACCCTCTGCACCCTCTGCACCCTCTGCACCCACCAAGTCTGACCACCTGAACACTGAGGAAAAGAAGTAATGAGCAAAACAATTATTCAAATGGATTATAACCTATCAAAAAATAAGACGCTCTGAGTTGCGCTCATAAATTAACAAATGAGTAAACAGCTGAATGAAGGACAAGAGAAAACTCTGACAGAAAAACACCAACTAATGGATGTAGAGGAAACATTGGATTCCATAAGTGTTTCCAAAAAATACATCAATAGATGCTAAAATTGGACAATAAAAATGGAAAAAGAACAAAGATGTTTACATAGACTTTAAAGATTTCCCCCAGCAGACTCATACTCAGTGATTACACAGAGAAAAAATAAACTCTATGGTAGGAAAATCTGGCAGACACCATTTTAATCAAATGATCAAAATCAGTATTACCAGGAAAGGGACACCATGTGCCTCCATACAGTGCACTGAGGGTATATCCATGGACATGTGTGAATTCTTCGGACTGTTTTTGTGAATTCTTTGTAAATCAAAAATACTTTAAAATGAAAAATAGGTAATTAGGTAGACACAGATGGATAAATAGATAGATAGACAGACAGACAGACAGATGAAAGACTCCTAAATCAGCCAAAGGATAAAATACATGAATTGGGCAAGGGTTAACAGGATAGGAGGGAAATGACACAACATTCCACAACTTGACTGACTGACTATTCTTCACATAACTTACTAAACACCTACTCTGTGCCAGTCACTGAAATAGGCACCTTCCATTCACTATCATATTAACATAAATACACCGTCCCCATCAAAAACTATTTAATTTCTGACAACTGAAGTGTGTAAGGCATGCAGAATAAAACAAAAGCCAGAGTTTCTCATCTTACCAAGATGACGCGAGCACAACAGTAAGGCCAAGTGATGGTGTGTGTGACCACAGATGGGATGGGAGGCCGCAGGGGCATTAGCTCTATGGTGAGCACTGGATAGAGAGGAAAGATCTGAAGGAGACTCGCAAGCTTGAGTGCTTCTCCAAGAACACATGGTCTGAGTCCAGCTCACAAGTGCTTTATGTTATCATCACCCACAGAAGTTAAAGCATGTCACCCGCAGCTAACAAGCGGTCATAGAATTTGGAGGCAGTTGTGTTAACAAGCCTGATGAGTTCTGTTCTAACTAACAGGAGATCTTGAAAGGCATGAAGGAAAACAGACACAGCAGGCAAGGGTGCACGCTAGGAAAAGGTGAAGAGGAAAGCTGCCCTGGCATACGGAGCTAGATGAGCAGCATTCAGGGGGAAAATGAAAAGTGCCAGCTCCGACAGCACTGGAGTTGTAGCTTAGGTCTGTTGTAGGAAGAAACTGCTCTTTTTCTGTCCATTCCAACACACTATCTTGCCTTTCTGTGTAGTCTTTTCCTGAGGTTCAAAAGCAGGCATTTTCCCACCAGCCCCTCTCCCTGCACTGCAACACCCAACAGCTTTCTCTCCTCCTGCTCCCACACTGCAGAATCCAGAGGATAAGCCAGGTGTGGTGGCGCACGCCTGTAATCCTAGCACTTGGGAGGCTGAGGCAGGAGGATCATTGAGAGTTTGAGACCAGCCTGGGCTACAAAATGAGTCCAAAGCCAGCCTGAACTGCATAGCTAGACCCTGTCTCAAAAAGACCAAAAAAAAAAAAAAAAGAATCGTGAGGATATATTGCTGAAAATGAGCAGACATGATTCACCACATTGATACTTTCAGCTTACACACTTTATTCATTCACTTGGTCTTCCAACAAACATTCCCCCAGTGCCTACCCTGTGTGTGTGCAGTACTGGGACAGACCATGTATAATAACAGTAGCATCAAAAATATGAAACACTCAGAAACTTGACAAACTATGCACAAGAAGGGACTGGGGTTTAGCTCAGCAACACAGCACCCGCCTGGCAAGCACAAGGTCATGAGTTCAATTCCCAGTACAGGAAAAAAACAAAACAACAACAAAAAAAACTATGCACAAGACATGTATCCTGAAAATAAAATATTTCTGAGAGTGAAGAAGTCCTAAATAAATGCAGATGTGTACTATGTCCTCAGATTGGAAGATTCAATACTGTTAAGGTCCACTTCTCCCCAAAATAATCTATATATTCAATAAAATCAAAATCAAAATCCTGGCATAGACACCGAATAGCTTCTGACATTAATAAGGAAGTACAAAGTCCATTAAAATAAACAAAATGTCTTTGAAAAAAAATAACATTATAGGACTTACACGGACTTCAGGACTTCTTATAAAGCTAGTTATCAGGTAGTATGATAATGGCATAAAGAGAGACAAAGAGATCAACAGAATAATGTCCAGAAATAGACCCTCAAATTGATCTGTCTATCTTTATGCTAATAGAAGGTGGGAAATAATTGAAGAGCTATATACCAAAAAAAAGTCAACTCTTATCTTATGCCACATATGAAAATGAATTCAAAATGTATCATAGGCCTGAACATAGGTGCTAAAACTATAAGACTTCTAGAAGAAAACAGGAGAGAGAATTTTATTGCTCTTGGGTTTGCAGTCAAAAAGTAAAACCTGTGAAAGAAGAAAAGTCCACAGTGCTTCATCAAATTAAAAACTTCCTCAAAAGGCACTGTAAAAAGTGAAAACCCAAGGCACAGCCTGGATGAAAATATTTGCAAAACATATTTCTCACAAAGGACTTGTACCTATATATAAAATTCTTATAGCTCACAGTGACTCAGGTTACTTGACAAAGTGTAAGTACTAGAAACGTCTATCATGCATCAACCAGACTCTGTCTTTTATTGAGGCCAGTGCCCTGGAGAAGAGAAGCAACTGTCCCTACAGTAACAGAGCTTACAGTCTACTGAGGGATACGGGTAAGTAAAACAGTTAATGCTAACACAGCGGAGTAAGACGCTCTGGCTGGAGCATTAGAATGCGGTAGTAACGCAGGAGAGACAGCCGACCTGCCTTTGCTAGAGATGGTTACCACAGTAGACGGAAGGTACTTTCTAGGCCAGCTTCATCTTTGAATTGCCTGTATCTAAGACAATGTCTAGCACATGGGAAGTCTTCCATACATGTTTCTCAAATCAATGAATAAACATTGAATAGTGACCTTAAGTGCTTTTAAATATCAACTATGAATTATGAACAAATTACATTATTTACTCTAGGTTTGATATTTTCTAAGGAGTTCATTTGAGTAAGAACACACCATCTGGTACACACACACACACACACACACACACACACACACTTCACATACGTTATTAGCATCCTAAATACTCACGGATACAAGGGATTTGTGTTGGCCAGTTGGAGAGTGTGTGTTTTCACAGGTTCCACAGCTATTAACATATCTTGTTCTACAGCCATTGGAAGAACAGAATAGCCACAGTAATCTATATGCTCGCCTAGGAAAAAAAGCAGTTTTTATCATTTCTAGCATATGAAACAACAGGAACTCAGTCAAGTTAACATAAAAGAAAAACATGACCACAGCCAGGACTTCATAGAAAATAAAAATATGGACAGGGTGTTCTTCAGTTTTCCTTTTTACTCCAGATACCTGGGCCAGCAACTACTAGTCATACATGAATTAGTCTGTTAATTTTGGGATTTCTTTTAACCTTAACCATTTTTCCCAGTTTCTAATTCATAATTATCATTTTCAAAGTTTATGCCATGTGAATAGTCATGTGAGCAGCAAGCAAATTAATATCTCTTCCATCGCTGCTATTTTATTAACCTTTTAAAAACAGGAACAATTGAGCCTTAAGTACACTTTCCCTTATATCAGCATTATCTGACTTGCAGCCTCTTCGTCACTGCCAGGGAGCTCATTAGAAGTAAGGAGGATGCTTATCTCTGTGCCTTAACTCAGAGTCCAGCAACTAGATCAGCACTAATACATCATGTGTAATGTGCTGTACAGAGCCAGGAAAAGAAAAGTAGCTAGGAAAAGATATATAATTTGCACTTTCAATGTATAAGCAAACACAAGGAACAAACTATTCTCCTTTCATGCTACTTCCTCTATGACTTACCAGTAAGAGACTGTTTTTCCTACCGCACCATAATCCAAGTGACAATTTAAACTTAAACTTGTTATTCATAAGGCTTAAACACAAAATAACAAACTTAAGCAAGATGAGATAAGCTCATTTGTTTCTCTGGTATATATTTTAATATCTGACTATTCCGATGGTAGAAATTAAACAGCTAGGAAATGTGAAATTAATAAAAGACAATTCAATTGTATAATTATATTTTATTCTACATATTAGAAGGAACAAGTCTTTTGTTTTACATTGATGTGCTCCTTAAAATGATACAATAGTTTTTTTAAAGATTAACAATGCTTAGCTGGGCATGGTGGCACACTCCTGTAATCCCAGCACTCGAGAGACTGAGGCAGGAGGATCGCTGTGAGTTCAAGACCAGGCTAGGCTGCAAAGTGAGCTCAAGGCCAGCCTGAACTGCATAGTGAGACGCTGTCTCAAAAAAAAAAAAAAAAAAAAAAAAGATTAACAATGCTTGACAGAGAGCTGGTTTTCAAAATTATCTTTCTTCCAACTACCTTTAAGAAGACAATAATAAAAAGTAAGTAGAAAGCATATATTCAGGTAAGCAGATCCCTAGGAAGGCCCTCGTTCTGCTGGGGAGATCTCCGCTGCATGGTCCGAGCCTTCTGAGAATCAACGGAGGCTTTGTCGAAACTCATTAAACAAAACAAGATTGCCTGGGCAGGGGTCAGAGAGGGAGCAGAAACTGCTGGGAAGGAAGGATAACAAAACTATCCTATCCTCAGTATTTTAAAACAAATCATAATAATGCTTGTAACAAAGACTGAAATTCGTTCCATCCCATGCACTAATTAGCTGTGTTAGAATCACTTACAAAACTACCTCCTACTTTTTAAACCATAACATAGTCAACAAATCAACTAGAAAAAGAACTCTTTGTCAGGAAAATCCTATCCTCAAACCCGAGCGAAGCGCGGCCCTCTCCTTGCGGCCTTCGGCAGTAGGGAGGGCATCCTCCTCTCGCGCTGTATTTCCAGGGCCCTTCCTGATGCCTGTTCTTCACTTCCATCCGTGCCTCTGTCCCCGACTCTGCTCCTCCCTGGAGACCTCAGCACCGGGAGAACATCCGGGTGAGCGAAATCACCCGGGGCGCAGCTTCCCACCCCTGTGGCCGCCAAAGAACCTGACCTCTGCACGCCAGCTGTCTTCTCCCGTGGCCTCCACACAGCCACTAAGGTCTGTAGGTAGACCTCCTTGTCACCTAGAACTTCTCTACCGTGAAATGAGTTCCAAATTCGATACTTTTTACTAAAATTTCCCATTCTGCTCTCTCCATTCACTGTACCCCATCGTGACCCCCTTCCCATTCGCCATGCTAAAGCACCCTATATTTTTTAAACCCTCTATTATTTGCTTCATAATAAAACAAGATTGCTTGAGCTGATAAGTTAAACCGGATGGTGAATACATGGGAGTTCTATATACTACTCCAGTTACTCTTTTATGTTTTCATTTTCCATTCCAAAAGAGATTTTTTAAGCCCCTGGGTCTTTCTCAGCTCCCCATCCCATTTTCTTTGATAAAATTTGTTGGCGCTAGAGGTCACCACTTACAACTTTCCCCCAGGACACTTCTCCAGCCTCCTTCAGTCTGGATGGGATAACATTCCTATAACTGCTACTGCAGCCTGTGCATTCCTGTCAAGTAATGTTTGAAAAATATTTTAGCTATGGGTATCTTTGTTCCCATGGAACTTTACATGAATGTGAAATGAGTCAAAGAGATAAACAAGAGGCTACTCTTGCTGGGCCCTTTGCACGGCTGGCAGCCTGACTCAGTAGCAGTCTCCAGGCCAGCTACAACCAACTCCTAGGACCCTGCGGCACAGTCAAGAGGCAACGCTGTCAAGATGCTGGAGAACGCCATCATACTCGCCACCGGACTGGGGGCTGTGTCTTCTTGTTCTCACCAGGGCTAGCATCATAGGAGGAACACAGCAAATCCAATGAATGGAAGAATGAGTCAAAGACCTCCCTCTGATAAAATCTTCTGGACTTTTTTCTGTGTTCCATTCCACTTGTTTACACCACATGAAAGATGCTTTTTTTGACACAGCATTTTCCTTGGCTTTTGAGATACCATTTGTGATCATTCCTTTCAGCTGCCAACTGGACTTGGTCAAGGGGCACTGAGATAGATGGTACAGTATGATTTTTGCATACGTCTGGAAGGAGACTGGCATGTGGTAGACTATATCATATTGGTTCTGTTTCTCTGGCTCATACGCCATTCTTTCCTGGTCTTCCTCCCTCTCATCCAGTCTTTCATCCTTACTCTCTGGGATCTGTTTCTTCTGCTCTTCCATCACATGATTCTGCTCTCACAGCTCCAGTCTTCAGCATTCTGCTTTTCTTCTTCATTCAGTTTCCCTAAGTAACTGACCTGTTCCAAGGGTGTCTTGGCTACTCTTCTCTCATTCCTGAGACAAAATACCTGACACCCAAATTAAGGAAAAAAAGGTTTATTTAGCTCATTGTTTGAGGAGGTTTCAGTCCATACTCAGCTGGCTAAAAGGCAGGGTAGCTCACGGCAGAGGACAACAGTTCTTGGCCACAGAAAACAGCAAAAGCAGCAAGAGCAAAAGGGAGGAGTGGGAGCTGGAAGAGCAAGTCTCTTTCCCTCCCTTACACTGTATGCGATCTATCTACCCCAGGGCAGGTGTAGCACTCATACCCCTAATCCCAACATTGGACCGTGAATCAATCATGAACTCTAGAAGCCCGCCCCGTGACTGCATGAGGCTTTGGGGAGACACCCAGACACAAACCATAACAAAGGGCTTTGATTTCTAGCTATTTTCCATTGACCCAGATCTGTACTGCCTCCTCACTGAGCTTCAGAAACACATATCCAAATGCTCTTCTTGGAAACCAAAGTCATTTCAAACTATAAAACAGATTTGTAAGATCCATCTCTTCTTGCAGCATTCCTCTTAGGAAACAGTACCAATATCTACTCTGGTGTTCAACATGGAGTTCACCACTCAGTCCTTGCAAAACACCTTTGGCAGAGAACTAGAACGCAGATCCAAAACTTTTTGCCGCTTAGTTCCTTAGCACTGCTACTGATCTAGTTCAGGGTTCCCTCAGGCCCAGTGGTATTTAGAAAGTAGGAAGGATTTTATTGTTAACACAAGAGATCATAAAACAAGACACAAATAAATTAATTGTTTTTAAAAAATTTAGACTCTAGGCCCCCTTTATGGAAAGGTCAGCTCCTTGTGTGTACAAATTATTATATAAAACAAAAACAGCAGGTATTTGAAAATGGTGCCCAAGATAATAACTAAGCACATACACAGTAAGGAAAAATAAAAAAGCACATTCTCTAGTCCCTCTGTAAAGTATGTGTTAGATAAAGGTCTAAGGTTTGTTTTGGTGGCAAGTATTTTTATATAGAAAATTTTTGAATTCTTCCACCTTCTCTCCAAAAAGGGTCTTAAAACCTGGCTGCAAAAAAGTGTCCTTTTTTTTGGTACCAGGAACTGAACTCAGAACCTTGCACTTGCCAGGCAGGCACTGTGCCACTGAGCTATATCCCCAGCCCAAAAGTGTCCTTTTGCTTTAGCTGAGGCCTTTTGATTACAAGAAAGAAAAAAAAACCCTGCTCAAGGCTGATTCTGATATAGTTGGTCTCCTAAAACATTCTTCAAACAGCAGAAAACCAGACTGCAGAGTTTGGTGAAGCAATCCTCCCAAAGGCCAGGTCCTGCATTTATTGCATAAAGTATCTGATCTTGCTTCCTGCTAAAACGAGCTATGTGATGCACCGTGTTAAGGAATGAGCAGACACCGTCACTCCCAGGCCAGCTTCTATGGCACAGTCTTTTAACGGGATCTTAAAAATTGCGAGACATTGGGCATGGACTGGATGTGGGCTAGAGGTATTCTAGATAGAGGAAAGGGCAGAGGAAACCAAACATAAGATTAAAAATAAGATGAGATTCAACTGAACACCTCGAACAGTAACTAAGTACATCCTACATTAGTCAACACATAAGTGAGACATTCTTCCACGTTTTAAGGTTTACCTGGCAGCCACTGTCTTCCTTATGCTCAAGACTTGGAGACCCGAGTCACTCTCAAGGATCCCATGGCTGAGGAAGACACGGAAATGACCAGAGGCAGCTTCTCTTCCTGACCTCCAGGGCAGCCAAAGCCCACATCTGCAGCAGCCGGCACAGCCTAACAAAATGTTCTGGAATGTGGAAACGTTCTGTGTGGAGGACCACCTAGGTGACTCTCCTTGAAAGACGAGCAACTGGCCCAATTTCGGCTGAGCCTGACCCTATTTCCATGTACCGGCATGTACAGAGCTGGCTAGGACTTTTCCTTACCCCTTCAGTTGGCTTTAAGCAACGCATATGGGTCTAGCCGAGGAGTTGATGGTAATCTTTGGAGATGGCAGGCGTGTTTCCCCGACCCCCTGTTCCTCCCTCAAGTGAGCTGGGATGAGGCAGGATGTGTAAGCCAATGTTCCATGCTGTTGGCTGGGAATGAGCCTCGGGAATAGAGGCTATGACTTCCTGGGGCTTGAAAGATTACACATCAGAGCTGAAGCACTGACACCAAAACATTAGATACTCCCTCAGACTGTGTTATGCAGATTACTCTCTCTGCGTATCCTTCTCTCTGCATATGGCAGAGGTGGTTTCAGCCTCCTACCCAGCCCAGCTCAGGGCACTCACCTGCTTCCCCGCCACTCTCACAGTCACTCAGCCTCAAGCCACTCCCTTCTTCACAGGTGAATAAATCTGGGTTCGGTCCGACGTATAGGCCTTTGTTCCAGAGAGCCATCGTCATGGCTGGACTTAGGACCCCTCGGCTCCCCATAACTACAAGTATGTCTTAGTGTCTGTATTCTCACCATGGCTTGCACTGGATGTGATAGATTGGAATTGACTCACTAGAATTCCAGTAACTTTTCGTGGGATTACAAATATAAACTTACTGGGCCGTGAGGAGGACTGGGAAGGGCTGTCTATAGTTCTGTGCTCATGCTGTCTAATACAGCACAGAAAGGTGGCTGGTACAAATGAATTTAAGTTTTATTTCTATATAAATATAGTCACATGTTACTAGTAGCACCTGTAACAGACAATAAGCATATATCCTCAGCCAAAGCAAAAATTCTCATTTGTATTTTCTAAGGGGTAAGTGATAGCACACATGACATCCTCAACAATGTCTCCATAATAACCTTGACAATGGATCACTAAAAATTCCAGATAAGCAAGGTACAACTTGTTGAAAACAATTCTATATAGAGAATATAGGCTTCTGAAATCCACCTTGATCTAGAATAAATTTAGAAGCTAGCAAAATACGTTCCACATGGCTTCAAATAATGCTTCAGAAATTACATTTGTCTCAACAAGTCTCACTGAAAATTCAAATTATATTGCTGAGCAAAGTACAAGCAAATAAGTTCAATATCCTTTTGTGGAAAATGAGCAATTTAAGTCCCATGCAAGGGATTCATTCTCTACCCTACCTACTTTGCCTTTGTACCTGGGGGAAGAAAACTCTTACCAGAAATAATCAAATGATAAAATGATTAAAGCTATTCTCACCCAGTGTTTTCTTTCTAATCAAACTGCTGGCTGTCATAGAAACTGAAAATAACCCATATGCCAGGAAAGAAAATTATTAAGCAAATTATACAATATCAACTTAGCAGGTTGAAGTTATTAAAATAATAATTATGACATACAGAAACATAAGAAAATATTTTAACACATTAAATGAAAAAAATTAAAAGGGTGTATAATCTAACTTAAAACTATATCAATTATTATATGCAAAAGAGATGGACAGAAAGATGCTAGACATTCTGTTAAACAGCTGTAATTTACTGCTGAAATGCAATACAATTCAAAGATATTCCACAGGAGAAACCAAAAAAAAAGAAATTCACCTGGGAAACCTGAAAAACTTGGACCACACTTTTAAAAACAAGGAATAGTAAGGTCAAGATTCCCCTAACCCAGTGAGTAAATGTGAAGCCATCAAAATTTCTCACTACAATCTAAATATGTAACCTGCAGCATCCTCTAAAAAAACAGTATGAACTACTGGATTTCAAAAGCTACGTAGATGTAGAAAACAAATGGAGAAAATTAACATTACTGAATGGACTGAAAGAGATGAAAGTAAAGTGTGTTCCTTATGCAGAAGCACATCTTGGTGAAATCTTTCCACCAAATATGTGAAATGTTCTGTACAAGGGAAAAATTAAGAAAGGAGCATACTGACAAAATTTTTGATCTTACTAAAGGAGAAGAGAAATTTAGGAGAAGAAAGTTTTGAAATACCTATGATGTTGACTCTTCCTGGTGCTCGAACATAAAACTTGGGGATGGAGCCAAACTTAGTCTTGAACATTTCCTTTAGCTTCAGCAATCTGAAAACAAGAGTAGAATGTTTCAGATTATATATCAGAAAACCCACAAGAGTCTGGGTGTGTAGTCTAGTGATAGAGCTTTGCTCACCATGCACAAGGCCCTAGGTTCAATCCTCAGCACCACAATGGATAGGAGGGGTAGAGGCATGGAGGGAGGGGAGAAAGACAGCCCATGAGATTCCTGTACACACACACACACACACACACACATGCACTTCATATAAATGCCATCTCTAATTATTCCAAAACAAAGAAGAAAACAAACTTTTAATGACATTTACCTCAAAAATCCCAGGATAAACAATATTGTTACCTCCTAAATCCCACAATAGCAGGGCTAAGCCCACTGAAGAATTAAAAAGTTAAGACTGATGCACCCAACAGAAAAAATCTATTGTATTCAATTATAAAGAATATAGCTATGTATAATTTTTCAGTAGAGGATACCAATGGGATTGGATGAAGACCCACCTAATGGAGTATGACTTCATCTTAACTTGATTGCATCTGCAACAATGCTAATCCGAATACAGTCACATTCTAAGCCTCCAAGTGGAGAGGCATTGGGGGCTGAGGGGAGCTACAGCATTCAAACCCGTATGACGCATCAAAGCAGACTGGGCTGGGTATCAGGAGACCACAGTAGTAATTCTACTGGGACCCCTAATTCAATGCCGAAATTCAGCAAATCAGTTTCCTGGGCCTATGGTTCCTAAAATTCCAGAAACTGAGTTATATATTCTGTTTACATTCCTTCCAGGTCCAAACTTCTAATAATAGACTCAATAATTTGATACCATCAAATCATCTCAAGTCAACTCGGCAACTCCCGCTGTTTATATTGTAGGATTACAATATCCTGCATTATACTGTGTCTAAGTAATAATATGAGGACAGTACACATTTATTAAAGCCAACCATATTCAGGAAGTAAGTAATTAACTGGTCTTAGGGAATCAGTTGTGAGAAACGGAAATGCACACACAAAAAAAGAGTTCAGGAAAAAAAGGAAGTTTATGATAATGATAAAAGATATGTCAGATAGGGTCAGAAGTTTCTCATGCTGGCATGAGAAATCAGGCCATCATCAGCAACTTCGCTTCTGTTGGCGTCTTTGGCTCTCCCATTTGCTACTTCATTCTCTCAGCCCTCCAAAGGGATGAGCGCTCTTTGCATGCTACCTGCCTCTGTGACCTCCTTGGGTTCTGCTTCTCCATACCTTCAGTTTTGTGACCCTATGGCTGAACTGTACAAGACTTAACAGCTCTAGTGTCCTGTACTATCTGTCTTATACATCTCCGGACCCTTTAGCTCAAATCCTCAAAAGTTATAAAATGTTTGACAGAGTTCAGGTCTGGTATCCCTCCTGGTGCAGTCATGTGTGGGAAAGAGGGTACAGTCATTTGGTACAAATAATGTCACTTATTGTAGTTACATGATCACTGGGGCCACTCCTCCAGTCCAGGGGATGAATGACAACACAAGGTCTCAGCAGGAGACAACAGCTGGTATCTCTAGCATATCATTCAAGAAAAACTGGACTACCAGGTAGATGTGGACAATGGCAGATGCCTAAGTTAGAATCTCCCCTTATATACAGAAAATAAGAAGTGTTAAATTACCTATAAGTTGAAAAAAAGAAAGACCACAGTGAGCTACTGAAACAAGAACTTGAGTGAAGGAGAAGACACCCAGCAAAACAAAGATTAGTCTAAAAACACCATCAGAAAGAAAAATCCAATATTTAAAAATGGAATCTGGGTGTGGTGGTGCATGCCTGTAATCCCAGCACTCGGGAGGCTAAGGCAGATTTGCCACAAGTTTAAGGCCAACCTGGACTACATAATGAGTCTGTGCCTCAAAAATTAAAAATTAAAGAAAGGAAGAAAATGGGGAGTGTGAGGAAAAACAGATGAAAAGCAGAATAAGCTCGTTGGTTGCTAAACAGGCAATATGTAAAAGCTAAAGAATAAATTAAAACCTGACAGCAATAATGTGTTGGTTTTTTTTTAATGTGTTTTAAAGATATGGTATGGACATATATGTAAGGATGCCAATTAAACACTAAAAAAAAAAAAGAAGGAAAGAAAAAAACTCATAAATGACCAGGACCTGTGCAGTTGGACAGAAAATTAAATTTTAATTAAATTAAATCTAATAAAATTAAATCTTTTAATTTAATCTCCCATTAAATCTCTTTTCTACATATAATGAAATTTATTAACTTTATTGACCTTTACATGAGGTAGAAGTATGCACCTCACAGAGTTGTTGAGAAGATTAAATATGGTGGCCTCAGGAAAGTGCCTAGCCCAGCACTAGCACATAGTACCTGCTTAAGACATGGCTGCACGGTGTCACCCTTGCCTCATCCTTGGGGCCAGTACCATGGCTATCTTGCAGCATGTGAACTGGAATGCTGGCTGTGTCAGGACTGGACACAGTGTTAGAACCCTGGGTGATTTTCATGCTGCTGCTGTTGAACCCAGCCACTCCCCCCACCCCACTTGCATTTCACAGAGAAGATTCAAACAACTGAGGTTATTTGTGCAGATTCTCGGTAAAATGACTTCAAATGTTAGTGTTTTTCAAAAGAAGAAAGGGGAAAAGAAAAAAAAAGATGAAGAAGCAAATAGCGGGGCTGGGGATTTAGCTCAGTGGCACAGTGCCTGCCTGGCAAGCGCAAGGTCATGAGTTCGATTCCTGGTACCAGAAGAAAAACAAATAAAAACAAAAAGAAGCAAATAGCAAGAGCTTAAACATTTTCTAAGGGTATTAAAAATATGTAAGTATAGAAGTACTAATTTTCCTCAATGCCAAAAAAAGCAAAAGTAAAAGAGCAAAGAAAAGTATCTAGTTGATAAAGAAAATGTGTAAGAACACATAAGAACATATAATTTGATAAACCTGAAATGAAAAACATCGATCACACTTCTTGGTGTGACCTAATACACCCACTCAAACAAAAAGAATTTGCAATTTGGATTCTAAAACAAGTTTGAACTATATGTTGTATGCAAGAGATACAACGAAAAAAAGTGATTTGGAAAAGCTAAATTCTCTGAAATAACCTGGGTGAGAAAGGAGAAGTGAATATATAACCATTCTAAAAAATAAAAACAACATTAAAACACTACCTATCGAAACAAATGGACATTTGTTTTAATCTGTTAAGAAAATCTATAGCCCTCAACACTTTTGTGGTAAAAGGAAAAGAACGATAATTTTAAAACATTAAGTCCCCAGCTCCATAAGCTAGGAACAACTCAACAAAATAAACAAATAAACAAACAAACAAAAAAGTACAACCAAAAAAAAAAAAAAAAAGACAAAAGCAGAAAGTAATTGTGTGGGATGTAGAAAAACAACAGTTATAATTAGCAACTAAATACCCAGGTTTTTAGAAGGAAAAAATTAACAAACTAGACAAACCACTTGCTAATGAACTAAGGAAATGAGGGATTAAAACTCAAATACACAAAATGTAAGCTGACATGAGAAAAATAACACTAAAAGACTTTTTTAAATCCTGAGACAACTTCGCAGAGCTCCATCCAGATAAATTTGAATTGTAAGAGGCTGACTCCATTTTTTTGCTGTTTGACAGCTCACAACTTTCAAGTCTCAATTCTGCCTCTTCTCCCCTGTCATGCAGGCAAGCTGAAGGTTCTGTCAGGTGCTCTCTGTTAGCAGCAGCAAAAGCACATGTAGAGACCCTCACCTTGGTCTTATCCTGTAAAAACCCCAAGCCAGTCTCCGTCCCTGGACCTCTCAAGCCATCTCTGGACCAGCTTGTGGACCCTTTCCTGTTATCCCAGAAAGCCTTATGATGTGAGTTACTACCCATTTCATACCTTCTTGGTTGTGGTACTATCAGTCTCAAGACTCACAACAAATCTTTGGGTAGGTATCCATCCTACGTCCAGCCAGTGGCCAGGAATCCCAAAGCAAATGGATAATTACCTAGGGAAATACAATTTTACAAGAATAGATGACTTCCATAAAAGAAATGAAGGAAGTTATCAAAGGACCATTGCTATAGTTTGTGTCTGGATGTTCCCCCAAAGCCTCATGCAGTCGCTGGGGGGAAAGGCTTTTCCAAGGTGGCTGAATCTATAGTTTGTAATTGGTTCATTGTCTAGCTGGGGTGGGGGGCGGGTGTGAGTGCTACATCCACCCTAGGGCAGGTAGCCTGCACACAACACAAGGAGGAAAAGGAGGCTTGCTCCTCCCTTTAGCTCCTTCTGCCCTTGTAGCTTTTGCTGTCTTCCACCACCTTAAACTGCTGCCCTCTGCCATGCAAACCTGCCTTGGAGCCAGTTGATTAAGGACTGAAACCTCCACAAACTGTGAGCTAAACAAACCTTTCCTCCCTTAATTTTGGGTGTCAGGTATTTTGTCTTAGCAATGAGAGAGAAAAATAACCAAGACAACTATCAAACAAATATGCATGAAATCAGAAAGTTTTCACAAGGGAACTCTACCTAGGCATGGACCTCACATAGCCCACATGCACCACAAATTGTTCCAGAGCATTCAAAAATAAAGGAAAACAGGTTCATCCTTGTTGTGAAAGCAAGTGGAATATGGCTACCTAAACCAGGCCAACACAGTCCAAGAACCGCTAGAGGTACAGCTCAGTGGGAGAGGGCTTGCCCTGCATGCTCAAGTCCTAGGTTCAATGCCCGGCCCTGGAACAAGAAAATAAATGAGTGAAAACTAGAGACTGTTTGTGAATGTTGGTTCAAAAGTACTTAGTAAAATATTAGTAAACAGAAGACAATGTTATATGAAGAAAATAATGCATGAGCAAGTAGAATTAATTCTAAGAATACAAAGTTTAAAATACCAGGAAAATCCAGGCACGATAGCATACACCTCTAATCTCAGCAAACAGAAGCTGAGGCAGGAGGATCAAGAGTTTGAGGCCAGCCTTGGGTATGTAGCAAGTTCAAGGCCGTCCTGGACTATAGCAAGACTCTGTCTCAAAAAAACTAAAA